ATGCTGCTACATACATTTTAAACCTGCCTCTGAATATGATGACACCTGTGCACGGACCAGACCATTTGCTATCCTGCTAGATGAATCTAGATCAATATTCATCAATGGTAAGGTTATTACTAAAGTCAAGGATACCAAATTCTTAGGTGTTGTTATAGATAGTAAGCTAAACTGGATTGCCCACATGCACTACATCTGTAGAAAACTGCGATCTATGACTGGTGCAATCTGCAGAATTCGGCACTCGATACCTTCTGAACTATATTTGAAAATATATAACGCTCTTTTTGAATCACATCTCAGTTATGGTATAAGTGTTTGGGGTGTTGTCCTCAAAGAACGGTTCAATGATAGTCTTTTCATCACACAGAAGCACTGTATAAGGATCCTTTTTGGCGACCTTGACTCATATTTAGATAAACAATCAACATGTGCACGTACTAGACCATACAGTATGCAAAAACTAGACCATAAACACTTTGAAAAGGAGCATACAAAACCCATTTTTAATAGATTAAAAATTCTTACGGCTCAAAACTTGTACAAATATCACTGCATCTTAGAATTCTCTAAGATTATCAAGTACCACTGCCCATACTCCCTTATGAGGCTATCAACATTTCAAACCGTGCAACGAGTCTCGCGGTTATTCTCCTAAATAAATCAAATACCTTTTTGTTTAATGCAGCCAAGCTTTGGAACGCTGTTCATAAAAAAATTTTAACTTCAAGCAATTTGACTACCTGGATATAATATGGTGTAGGGCTGCCAAAACCAAACTTAATTCTCTTGATATATTATACAAGAAAGTAGCAAAAATTGCTCTGGATGTTCATTGGCAGGAACCATCAGTAAATGTATATCGAAATATGAAGTGGTTACCCTTACACTTAAGAAGACAACTCCATCTATCAACGTATATGTATAAAATTCTTAATGAGGCTGCACCATCATCATTCACAGATAAATTTTCTTATGTATCCGGAGGATCACGTGATGCTGAGAGGTGCAACCTTTATATTCACAAATCCAGAACACACAAAACCTTTACATATTTAGGTGCAAAATGTTGGAATACAATTCCAGAGAACATAAGGACTATAGAATGTAGTGTAAAATTCTCACAATATATGAAATCTAAATTTATGTCAGATGTAATTCAAGGAGTCTCATCCTATGAAATAAACAATAGTTTCGACTATTTCTACACTCTAGCTATGTGACAACTGAAACAAATTTTATGGTGCTGGAGTTTTTGTCGGGTGGAAAGGCCCCCTGCGTTATATATGACCTATTTCCAGAAGTATAGAACTTTAAACATCTCCTTTACTCGTTCCCATTTGTTATCATTGCCAATCTATTATTGTTCTATACTTCTCTGTATATAACTGTAAATAACATTACTAACGTAATCCCAAAGTGGGCATCTATGTAATCTTAATTGTTACCTTCATGCCCACAGTTCACTGTTAAATCATATCTTATTTTATCACTCATTAATTTATTACTCATTATGTTTTACATACTATATCCTTATGTCCCTAGAAGGGTGTTCTGCTAACAGTTTTCGACTGACTTGAATGTCCTGCACAGCAGATTGAAGCTTCTTAAATTATTTTTTATTCTTATTGTATTGCTGTGTAAATTTGATTCTAATTCTAATTCTAATTCTAATTCTAATAATTGCCTAGAAACGTCCATTAGCTTGATAAAACTGAGAACCAAAGCACTATTAATACAAGCACAGGCAGCTGACTTAAAAGATACTTGGACTCCAAACAATTTTAAATTGCAGTAATCAAATCTAATTGCAGCGGCACACACTTACTATTACTATCATGATTGTACTATAGACAGAAAATCTTTTAAATCGATTTTGGGCGCTTTTTAACCATTTGTTGTAATGTTTTTAGATACTAAATATCTAAATTTATAAAATTTTTTATCGGAATGAATTAATTGATATTTAATAATTTATTCGGTAGGTTTATCTGGTATTGATATTGATTATATTGATATTGTTATTATTGAACGAAGCTAACTCTAGACATAGTTAATACTACTTCTTTTAAGAAAGGGACTTGGAGTATAAACGACCAAGTTTGCATAAATTTCTATCCACCCAAGAACTCAGGAGGCAAAGGTGGGTGCGTAAACTTTTGGTCTGCACTCTCCGATCCTGTATCACCCTGGATTCTTCTCGACGTATCTTTGTAAAAGGTATATACCTTCTAGTCAATCTCTTGCTACTCCAAGTCCCCTAAGATATCTGATCTAAAGTTCGTGCTAGTTATATATATATGAAATATATTTTTGTCTGCTTTAATTGATACTAAATAAAATTGTTGTTTTCTTGAAATTGTTGTTTTCTTGGAAACCAGCTGGAAAAGGTGACAGACTTTGTTTACCTTGGAGCTTGGATAGCAACAACAGAGAGGGACCTGCGGGTCAGAAAAGCTAAGGCTTGGGCAGCCTGCCACAAGCTTAAGAAGATGTGGAAGTCTGACCTTAGCAGAGGACTGAAGATCCGTCTATTTGTTGCTACTGTGGAGTCAATACTTCTTTATGGTTCTGAAACTTAGTGTGGATTGGAAGCAGCGAAAAACCAACAAAGAAGTCTGTGGCAACCTACCGAGAGCAACCATGAAGATCCAAGAGCGCAGGATGCGACTAGCAGGCCATATCCACCGGCACCCAGAACTAGTCGCAAACCGCTTGCTACTCTGGGAACCAACTCATGGGGTGCGGAGTAGGGGGAGACCAGCCATGACCTATGTTGATACGGGCTGACACGGGTCTCAACGACAATGGAGAAATGGGCGGATTTATGGCGGATAGACTATTATGGAGACAGTGCATCAATACTCGGACGCTGAAGCCGCCTTAAGTCAAGTAAGTCACTGTTCTATTTTATGTTGTATATATAATTTTACGGACGATATGATCCCAGGGGGGACTCCCAACCCACCGCTTCGGCGGGTAGTTGACGCACCATTCACAAAGCAAGAGCCACTTTGGTATACTTGCTGTGAGGTGTCTTTTTTTGTTTGTTGGTTATAATTCTGTCCGTCCGATTTCTTGTTCGCTTGTCTTCCTTTTTTTTTCTTATTCTCAGTTGTGACAGAATTGTTATAAGCAAAATACTTAATATCATATAATATGATGTTTGATTTTTTGTTATTGTTTGTCATTCATTTGGTAGACGGTCGCGGTCCCAACCTTAATGTGACTCTTGCTGTCTCTTTGTTGTTTTCTTGAGACAACTCACAGCAAGTAGACCAAAGTGGCTCTTACTTGTGGAAGGTGCATCAACTACCCTCCAAAGTGGTGGGTTGGGAGTTCCTCCTGGGATCATGTCGTCCGTAAACATTTCCCTCTCCATAATTTTTTTCAAATATGTTCAGTTAAACAAAAATTCAGTTAAACAAAAATTTCAATTTTATGCCATTTATTACAGATTAAACAAGTTTACAATAAATCAATTTGATATTTAACGGAATCCTAATTCAATGTGCAGTATGGTTGTCACTCTTTAAATAGATTAGATATAGGTTGACGGGGCAAAGGAGTGTGCGTGCTGTTCGCTATTGCTCACACCAAACAGCAACCTAGTAAATGTTTTGTATGAACACCGGTCTCCATCACGATACAAAATTAGGATTGTAGAATTTATTGTATAACTATTAGTGCAGTGGAGGTAGCGGTGTGGTGCATTGATAGAGTGACAGCCTACTGATTTAGAGTTGTTTTTAAGTGAGCATAATGGGTGTATTTTTGGATCTAATGGCAACTTAAAAATTTGTTCTTTTAATCTTTTATTAAATATCAGTTTAAAAATATATAAATCTGGAATCTGTTCACTCTGAACCAGTCCTATAAAAATTTCAAAAACCCTCCTAAATTAAATATTAAAAACGTCTCAGTAATGGAAATAGTCATACAATTAAGAAATTAACCAAATTCTTAATATCTACCTAAGAGAAAAATACCTACCTAAGTCAATTTCTACCTGTAATACACTAAATATTAGGTTAAATACATAGGTGGTGGAGTCAGCACACATTTACCAAAATCAAAATTGTTCAATAGGAGGAGCCTGTGGGCCGAGATCACTGGATTAAATTTGATGAAGGGGATTGTTTTCAAATGACAGCTGCATTATGTCATAATCGCTTGTGGTCCATGCCGAATCATTATGAGCATGTTGCAGCTTTAGAAGTGCCTTTTTCAGGCGACTTTTAGCAAGGCTAATCTTGTAGGAGTAGTCAAAGAGCTTAAGTTTAGGTGCAATTGTGTTCCAAATTTTGGTGGATCTTGATATAAAGTCATTAGATGGGAGTTGTGAAATGATAGTGGTTTCCTTTCTAGAAGATGACTGATAATGCTGTTGCAGTGATGTTAATAGAAAGGTTACGGATGGCCTTTTTTGCAGAAAAAGAGGGATTTTGGAGATTGGGAAGGTGGGTTTAAATTTCATTTCCGTCCGTCACACTGTACCATGACAAAAAGAAAGAGAAAGATGTGCGCAGCGTGTGAGTGTTGTATTGCTTGTGGAGATTTGTACTTATGTAATACTGCAGCGAGCATATATTTTGATGTATAATGCATTAAGCCCAATGTGTACGTGACACGTGTTGTGTATTGATGTGTGTAAGACATGAGTATAATTCACTTTCTGCTTCCAATTGCTTAAATTACAGATACAAGTTAAGTTCTACGGCATTTGAATTGGATCAAAAGTGTTTCCCCTATTTTAAGCATGATATTATGAAGTTTAAATAATGCTTTTGGACACGAAGGGGAACACACAAGGCTTGAAATCTTCGTAAAGCTACATCATTAGAGCCTGTAAAAACATTTAACTCTAAGATAAGCACTTAGTCAAGTAAAATTCATATATCATCATAGTTTATTAACTCAAACGTAAACATTGTAACAAAGGCTAAATTTAATCCGTCAAAATTCATAGCATGTAAGTAATTATGGATGGGGTACAACTCCACTCTGAAAATTATAGTATAGTATGAAACAACTTAAACACTTAAGTAAAGCTGATAAACAGTGTCCTGATTCCCACACTTTCTGTAAACAATAACCATAGTACAGTCCCCTAATGTACTACAAACCCCGATTTACTGTCCCCCATGTACTACAATATAACCTACATCAATATAATAATCTGCCAATTGCATCACTTGATTTAATTTATTGTATTTATACTGTTTGACATTTCAAATATAATAGTAAAATAAATTGTGGCTTAGATATTTAGGTTGCCCCACGAAAAGAACAGGATTCTTACAGGAAGAGTCCTACACCATCTGCATCATTTACACCAATTATTATTCAATTCAATACAAAATGCCGCAGATCCGATAGACAAATTGACCCAATCCACCTATTATGTTGCCCAAATTAGCAGCAAAAACTATTTAAATGATATATTATGTAAAATAATTACAGAAATATTTGTAGAATGAAATTTCTCCTCCTACTTGCCCTCTGTGTGGGAGCCAATAATGGATACATGCTCTACCTTGATGCTAAAGCTGAAGAGTGCTTTTACGAGGAACTGAAGCCAAACCAAAAAGCCGGGTTAGAAACTTTATTATCTTGTACAACATGGAAATATTTGACATTTCTTTGACCCTTTATAAATCAAGAGGCTTGCATTTAATGAACATATTGACACGGGTGCAGAGTTGAGTCTGTACGGAACCTAGTAGTTTCAGATCCTTGTTTAACTTGCCGTACAGCAAGGTCATCCACTACTTTAGCCCGGCGAGGCACATAACTCCCTCCACAACTCCATATCAAATGTCCCAGAAACTGAACATCTTTCTCAAGGTGTAATTTGAATTATCCCTGATTGACAACTATTTATACATTGCAGTGGAAACATAATACTATACTACACTACAGCTGGTTAGTGGTTGTCATAGAAGTATACAATTGCAGGTTATCATTTGAAGTAGCAGAGGGTGGATTTCTGGATGTCGATGTTTCGTTGACAGACCCATCTGGTTCTGTCATCTATGCCGCTAACCAGGTCTGTTTTTAACTAGATTATTTCCCAACTCTAGATCACACTAACATTTCCCCTTCATGCTCCTCTGTTATTATAACAGTAAATATATTACTAGTCACCTCCACAGGAAACAGAGGGAAGGTTCAGATTCTCAGCGTCTATGCAGGGCAACTATGTGTTCTGTTTCAGTAATGCAATGTCCACAGTCACACCCAAAGTGCTAAAGTTCAAGATGATTGTTGTACAGCCTAGAGAAGCTGATTCATCTGATATGTCTGATGAAGACAAGAAAATTAAAGGTCAGTTTAAATTTTTTGATTATTCAATGGGTTTGTTAATTTAGCATCCAATGTTAAGTGAAAAATAATACAAAGTTAATAACATTAAAAACATATAAAAAAGGTGCATTTTAATATTAATAATTTAGTTTTATTGAGAGCCCATGGAACAGTACTACTACTGAAGTACATTCTTAAAATTTCATCTCAATGTGCCCCTCAGGTATGATAGGAGACCTGAGGAACCAGCTAAGAGAGGTAAAGGAAGAACAGGACTACATGGAGATAAGAGACACTGCACACGGAGAGATCAACAGGAACACGAACCGACGGGTCGTTATTTGGGCCTGCTTCGAGTTCTCTCTACTCCTCTGTATGACTATTGGACAAATTTACTATATTAAGAGATTCTTTGAAGTAAGAAGGGTAATTTAATTTGTAGATGTATCAAATTAATGATATTATTGTTCTTTATAAGTTATAACGTGCTGTGTCTAGTTCAGAATTTAACACTCAACCTATACAGTTTGCTTCTCTTTTTTTCAAGTTTTTGTCGAAGGAATAGAACAGATGTGTTTAAAACTTAAATCTACCCTTGTCTAAACTCTTTATATTATATTTTTGATGATTAGAATTATGGAAAACACGTTTCCAAAATATTTTCAGACTTTCATTCAATTTCGAATCACTCCTAACTTTATGGTATACAAATTGAAATTTTCTCCTGATCCAAATTCCGAAAGGAAATCATGAAATATTATATTGATTTCTATATGATTTAAAATAATCCTTACACGTTTGTGTAAATGATGGGTAAATTAGTAATTTGGCATTGTGTTATGACTTAGCTGTGCATGAATTATTCGATAAGCAAGAGGGAATTATAGAATTAAGAAAGTGTTTTAAGGTTCACAGTATTAAAGTAAAGCATATTACTAATTACAGTGTGGTTTTAAACATAAAAGTTCCGAAGTTATTTATTTTAGTTTATTTTTGATTGTGTGTTGAATTCGCAGATTAATGTCTATGTTATAAATCTATGTAAATACCGTGATCCTGTTGTAAAGAGTTGAAAATGGGGGAGTTAGGTCTCACTAGCATTACATAAACTTATTATTTATATTATAATTAGTATCATGTTTGAAAATTTCGGGAATCTTCCAATTATTTTCGAGGCGACCATTATATTATTCTACATTTTCGACGAGATTTACTGAAAAAAAAATATCGTTCGAATTCTGGTTACATAACATGAAGCATAATATAATTTGTAAATGAGTTTATCAAACCAATTCGTACCCTTTATTTTACGTTAAAAATTGGAAATAATATAATGCATGAATGACAAAAACAATGACTATTGTCCTGTCTGTAAAGCTAGTTAAATTTGATATTTGAATGTGACCGGTAAATTGATAGATATTGGGTATAGAACTTCACACAATCTGAGTTTAATTTTCCATACATTATAGTTATTAATTTACAAATTTTAATAACTGATATTCCTTGTTTTATTCCACTCTTCAGACAAACTACAGCTAATATTTTAATCTTTTCACGATTTTAATTTAAACTGAATTGCGATTTTAAAGACTACCTTCATTCTAGGCCCCAAGGCTCTGTGTCCACGTTAAAGTTACTGGTAAGTTCAGATAAATGTTAAAATTCCTTATTTCAGGGTACGTCATTGCCAATTATTCCAAATATTTCAGGTTTTTATCGTGACGAAAATATAAATAATTTAGATATTTTCGCCATGAAATGACAAAAACACTGAGATTGTGAAGCAATGATGGCAAAATGGCAAGATTTATTCTCGCCGTCAAAGCTACATAAAGCAATTTAATATTTGCGACCTTATTCGATATCTATCTAAAAATTGCTGGCGAAAATGGCGATGACATACTCTCAATATTTTTGTCTGTATCTTAAAACTTGTGATGTTAAAATAGCACCTGATATTTAGCCATCCTCCTCGCAAAGTTACAGGTTAAAGCCTATTTTACTTTTTTTTAAATGTTAAAACGTACGACTCCAGTGAGTGTTTTGAGCAGTATTACTTAGCTTGGTGTTCCTTACGCTATGACATTTCTTAAAACTGTTCCTTTCATAACGAAGACTGAAGATTGAAGAAATATTTAAAGAGAATTTTGAAGAATGAAGATCATAATTTTAAGAAAACGTCCCACAGTAACAATCTGGCCATGATAGAACTTTACAATTGAATATATTAATGACGATTTAAGGAAGATGGATATTTTTAGGGTTATTGGTAAGTGTTGTTATCACAATAACACTCACAATAAGGAAGAGTAGTTGTTAACACTCACAATAAGGGAGAGTAGTTGTTAACACTCACAATAAGGGAGAGTAGTTGTTAACACTCACAATAAGGGAGAGTAGTTGTTAACACTCACAATAAGGGAGAGTAGTTGTTAACACTCACAATAAGGGAGAGTAGTTGTTAACACTCACAGTAAGGGAGAGTAGTTGTTAACACTCACAATAAGAGAGAGTAGTTGTTAACACTCACAATAAGGGAGAGTAGTTGTTAACACTCACAATAAGGGAGAGTAGTTGTTATCACTCACAACAAGGGAGAGTAGTTGTTAACACTCACAATAAGGAAGAGTAGTTGTTAACACTCACAATAATGGAGAGTAGTTGTTAACACTCACAATAAGGGAGAGTAGTTGTTAACACTCACAATAAGGGAGAGTAGTTGTTAACACTCACAATAAGGGAGAGTAGTTGTTAACACTCACAATAAGGGAGAGTAGTTGTTAACACTCACAATAAGGGAGAGTAGTTGTTAACACTCACAATAAGGGAGAGTAGTTGTTAACACTCACAATAAGGGAGAGTAGTTGTTAACACTCACAATAAGGGAGAGTAGTTGTTAACACTCACAATAAGGGAGAGTAGTTGTTAACACTCACAATAAGGGAGAGTAGTTGTTAACACTCACAATAAGGGAGAGTAGTTGTTAACACTCACAATAAGGGAGAGTAGTTGTTAACACTCACAATAAGGGAGAGTAGTTGTTAACACTCACAATAAGGAAGAGTAGTTGTTAACACTCACAATAAGGGAGAGTAGTTGTTAACACTCACAATAAGGGAGAGTAGTTGTTAACACTCACAATAAGGGAGAGTAGTTGTTAACACTCACAATAAGGGAGAGTAGTTGTTAACACTCACAATAAGGGAGAGTAGTTGTTAACACTCACAATAAGGGAGAGTAGTTGTTAACACTCACAATAAGGGAGAGTAGTTGTTAACACTCACAATAAGGGAGAGTAGTTGTTAACACTCACAATAAGGGAGAGTAGTTGTTAACACTCACAATAAGAGAGAGTAGTTGTTAACACTCACAATAAGGGAGAGTAGTTGTTAACACTCACAATAAGGGAGAGTAGTTGTTAACACTCACAATAAGGGAGAGTAGTTGTTAACACTCACAATAAGGGAGAGTAGTTGTTAACACTCACATAGGTTCCTTTTTTGCTTTCACAACTTCTCACAGTCTTTCACTCAGATCACTTGATTTTATCGCATTCATTTACACCCCCTAACTTTCCCTACCCCGCAAATTTTCAACACTTTTCTGTACATTTGAATTACGATTTAAACAAAATCAACTCATTTCAAATCAGTTCTTTTTTCATCAGATTAAAAGAGAAATGTATTGATTTGTAAAGAATATCAAAATAATTCTCAGTTTGGAATGCCGTCACGATCAAGATCCCGTTCTAGAAGTAGGAGCTACAGCAGGTCTTATAGCAGGTCTCCCAGCAGATCCGATAAAAGCAGGTTTTTAGATTCTTTTTTAATTATCAATTTTAATATTTAATTATTTACAACAACAAATACTCGGAAAACCCAATAATTTTCAAACTTTTTTGACAATTTAGTTCAACCAATTGCAATGCCCCGCCCCGGGCGCCCGGAGGTTACGTATTGTGACATGTGACATGGAACATAATTAGTCTAATGAGTAGTTTAATTCAGTAGATCCAGGTCGAAGAGTCGCGGTAGGTCGCGCAGTGTGTCTCCGCTATCTAACAGAAAGAGACATGTCGGGGACAGAGACATGCCTCCTCCTTCTAAAGTTGTTGGTACGTTTCTCCACTCTTATAATCCTATGCTTTCATTTTCGTTTGATCATTTTGTGGCCTTCATTTACACTTTACACCCCCTAACTTTTCCTACTCTTCAACGTTTCCACAACTTTCTATACGATTCACTAAATAAACCCTCTCCAGGAGTGTTTGGTCTGAACCTGGATACCACAGACCGCGAGTTACGGCGTGTGTTTGAGAAGTACGGCAAGCTGGAGGACGCCATGATAATAAACGACAGAAAGACGGGCATGTCACGTGGTTTCGGATTTGTTTACTTCCAGAGACCGGAGGATGCCCAAGTTGCTAAGGAGGAAACTAATGGTCTGGAGATTGACGGTACGGTTAATTAATACTAATCATTAATTAACTTATGTTCTAATTAACTAAATAACTAATACTCTAATTTATTTAGTAAGTTGGTCATGTACCCACCACTTAACACTTATACTCACCCTGTCTTCCCCCTGTAGGTAAGAAGATCAGAGTAGATTTCTCAGTAACCAAGCGACCCCACACCCCAACTCCAGGACAGTACATGGGGCGGCCCACTATCCCCCGATACTCAGGACGAGGTAGGGGGTACGGGGGACGGAGCTCCAGAAGATCCTACTCCAGATCCAGATCTAGATCCCCAAGACACAGTAAGAGGTACAGATCACGGTCCAGATCCCCCCGCCGCCGCTCACCCTCCCGCTCCTTCTCCCGCAGTCGCTCTCGCAGTCCTCGTCACCACAGATCCAGAAAATACTAGAACTCCTTTCAGATCATCAGGATAGCTTATTTTGACTTTTTTAAAGACTAACTGGGCTAAATTAGAAAACTCTTGTTAGTCAGTTGTTAAGCCCGAGATCTTCTCAAGATTTGGTAGTTCAATATCATGTCTACGACGGTCTCGGTTAGAGCTATTTCTTAAATCCATATTCTTTCCCATCGTAAGACAAATGAAGTGTTTTTAATGCCAGTTTGGCACCAAGTTGTTGGAGAAAATGATCTGAATTCTGAAAGTGTAGTGTCAGAGAAATGGTTGTTAATTATTTATTATTTTCAAAAAGCGAGAAAAATGCTGTATTAATATCGCCGGTAATTTAATTTAACTAGCTTTAAACCAAATATGATATTACTTACCTATCTACTCGACTCACATGTTTCAATGATTTTAAATGTTATTGCAACTTTCGTAAAGTTTCCATATTTGGTATAAATTTCCTTCAATTACTATTGATACTGTGCTAAGATGATAGAACGAATCTTGAATCTTGGTTAGTGAACATGTTGTATCGCAATGCCATTCAAAGTAATTAACGTTACTCCTTGTGTAAAGCATGTGATAACGAACAGACTCTAAAAGATGAACTCGGAGATGAGCTCAATAGACGCTCTAGTTGAACATTGTCAGAGTGCAGTGGAATGTGAGGACATTCCAACAGACCTTCAGTTTAGTAGTCATGTGACGGGAGATGAACCACAGGTATGTTTAGTTAGTTTACAGTCGGGAGGGTCAGCTAAATTATAAATAACACCAAAACCTAAAATTTCGTGCTGAACTCAGCTTAAATTTTGAAATGGCAGAGAAAAAGAAGAACAAACATTATGTTATTTAAGATTGCAAACCATGAACGCCGGGCTAATAAGTGATCAGTAATTAACCAATTAAAGTAATTAATTAACTTGCACAGGAGGAGTCTGCAATGGATGACGACTGTTGGAAGAGCCAGGCTGTAGTTGATAGGGACATGTTAAGTGAGGTGCCGGAGCGAGTTAACTGGATACACTTTGTAGATGGTACGTCAATACAGATTAGTGACCAATTGGTGACCAGTTAGTGACTAGTTGGTGATCAGTTAGTGACCAATTAGTGACCAGCTAGTGATCAGTTAGTGGTCAGTTAGTGACCAGTTAATGACTAATTAGTGACCAGTTAGTGACTAGTTGGTGACCAGTTAATGACTAATTAGTGACCAGTTAATGACTAATTAGTGACCAGTTAATGACTAATTAGTGACCAACTGATAACCCCTCCAGGTACGCCCTACGGGGAGCGTCTACTAAAAGCAGCGGAACAAGGCTGTACTGCACTGGTTGAGGAGATACTGTCTGGGGAACCTGATGTTATCAACTACAAGGACACTGACGGTTACACTCCTCTACACAGAGCTTGTTATCAGGGGTGGGAGGATATTGTGGAGATCCTGCTTCTAAACGGTCAGACATTGCCCCCCGGCCCCCCCTGCCCCCCCCCCCGGCCCCAATCCTTCTTTCTTTTAACAGTGCTCTTACCTGTGATTCACAGTACTTAAAACTCACTTTCCAAACAAGGAACTAGCCTCAATCTATTAGTGGGTTATGACGTCAATTTCTCCAATTGAATGCTCTAATTAACTGCTCCAATTGACTGCTCTTATTGACTGCCCTAATTGATTGCTCGTATTAATTGCTCTAATTAATTATTCTAACTAATTGCCCCAATTATAATTGATTGCTCTAATTGATTGCTCTAACTAATTGCTCTTATTAATTGCTGTAACTAATGCTGCGTGTTACAGGGGCAGATAGGGACAGTAGAACAGATGATGGTTGGACCCCACTGCACAGTGCAGCACGATGGAACAAGGTCCTCTGTGCTAAACTCCTTATTGCTGCTGGGTACGTTCTTATTAGTATCTTTGTTAATGGGAGGTGTTCAGCCTGAATTTCTGTGAAACTTGTTTTCAAGATAGCAGCTGACCAACAAATAACAACCTGTGACCGAACTTTTGAAGAGGTCCTGAAACCGCCCACCGGTGCAGCCATGCCCATATTTGGTTCTTTTTTAGCCCAATAGGCCAAGTCACATCAACATGCCCAAAACAAATATGGGCATGTCTGCAAAGTTCAGGCTGGACTCCCTTCCCTAAACGTTAGTAATATCAAATCTTATAATAATGATAAGATCAAATCTAATTATTTCAGATGTAACATAGTGTAATATATTGGTGATATTCCAGGTGTGATGTAAATGCGATGAGTAACGGCCAACAAACACCGCTTCACATAGCGTGCAGTAGTCAGGCCTGTGCTAGTGTTATACATCTGTTACTCTGGCACTGCGATACTGATGTGTCCCTGCTGTAAGTTACATTTGTATTTAACTTACTTATATTAAGTTAATTAAGTTAGTTAAGTTAAATGTTTACTGGAAGTTAAAGTTGGGTTAGCTAGCTAGATGTGTGTTTACTTTAAGTTGGTTAGCTGAACTTAGTGTAAGTTAAATAAGTAGGGTAAACATATTGTAAATGGTAGTGTAAAGTTTTACAAAGAGTGCTGTGTACTTTGTACGTAAGTATAGAATGTATTCTTGTGTAAAATTGTATTGATCCCGTTTGATGCGACAAGGAAAAATGCTCTTATCAGGAAAGGAATTTACTCTTTTCTTGAGAAAATTCCTTTCCTGATAAGAGCATTTTTCCTTATCGCATCAAACGGGATCAATACAATTTTACACAAGAATACATTGCAACCATGCGACTCATAAACAATACTCCAATCCGGATTTTACATAATTATAGAAAGAATGAGTATAGAATAGTTGTGGGGAACCTTGCACCCATTATGTAAGGTTCCTTGTTTATGTGGTATTTTATTGTGCGTTAAATATTGATCAATAAAATTAAACGTTATTATATTCAGGCCACTCACAGTATCAATATAGCCTTGTTATCAGTATATATACCGGTTGTGTCATGAGTTATTTTATAAAAGCATTGTCGTGATAATTGATCAATTAGTTAATTAATTAATAATAAGTTAATGAACCGTTCAGGAACAACAGTGGCGAGACAGCAGAGAAGGTAGCATTCTCTAGTTCCCTTCTAGGACCGCTCTTTGAGCTAAGACACAGATTTGTAGACATTGATCCTATGAAGGATAGAGAAATCCTCTTATAAAGGCTTGTGGAATGTGGAATTGTATTTTGAATATTTTGGTTATTTGTGAAATCGGGGTAAGAATTTTTTTTGTTGAAATTTCTTTTTTTCTATTTGATTTATTTTGAAGTATTTACTGTTTGTAGAAGGAAAGTCTTCGGATATATTTATTTGAATTGTATTAAATGTATTCTTTATGTTTATATTTAATTAACTTTATACTGCTAGAAAGCAACTTGCATCCTTTGCCTTTTACTGTTCCGGCAACATACAGATTCTCATCATCTAAGTAAAACAATTCCCACATTCCACAATCACTAACAACTCAATCTGCAGGATGGGATCACATCATGGGGACGATGAAACAAACGCCATCCTCCTCAAAATCCTACAACACAACATCCGAGTTAAATCAGTACAAATAGACGGACTGCGACGAGTACAAGAGGACATAGTGGTACCTCATCTCAAACCTCTGTTAAAAGCTAAGAATCTGTACTCTCTGTTGGGACTAGTAGGTAAAACTCATGATGATCTGGAGGTACTGGACGCGTTTGAGAAGATAGACATTAATATAGAACATCTGGGTAAGAAGAGCGATGTAAACGAGGTAATGCTGAGAGTAGCTGTTAGTGAGAATAGGAGGAACACGTTCGGCATGAACGTGTCAGGTGATAGAGGACTCAATGATGGTAGTTTAAATATTTACGGGAAAGTTAGGAATCTGTTCGGGAGACTGGAATCTGTCCGTGTTAATTACGTGAAGGGAACGAAGATTTCAGATGGTTGCAGCATGATCTTCAATAAACCCATCTTATCCCAGAAAAACTCTAATTTCAAAGTTGTAGCGTCAAAAGAGAACATGTTAAACAGGACTGCAAACTACATGACATCCGACGTTAAGACTAACATGGTGTATCAAGTTGGGATGTTAGGAGGTAAGAATGAGTTTGAAGCAGAAGCTCTCTGGCAACAGATCCACGGTGGGAACGTCTCCATGAAGGTCAGAGAAGAGTTTGGTCATCATCTGAAGTGCGCCGTGCGGCACAAGTATGTGCGCGACACACGCGACGACCTCCTGGTCCCAACTACCGGTTCAAAACACTCAATAGAAACAGAGCTAGCTGGGTTTATGGGTGATGTGAACCATGTTAAAGTCAATGTGGACTCTCAGATTAACACTAAACTATTCCTGGGTTACTCTGGAGCTCTGTCGTTCCGAGCTGGTCTGATCCATGAACTGAGTGAGAACAGGCGGACGTGGATAACAGACAAGTTCTTTTGTGGGGGCCCTGGTTCAGTTAGAGGGTTCTATGAGGACGGTATAGGGCGCCCACTTGGGGGCACCATGCATTGGGGGGCTGGGGTATCACTATCTCGCAAACTCCCCTTCTCTCCCCATATCTGGGGTCTTGGCAAGTTCATGCGTATAAACCATTTCGTTAACGCTGGTAATTTAGGAAATGATAGAAAGGACTTGTTCGTTGATCCGAGAGTATCAGTTGGTTCCGGTGTTATTATGAAAATAGCCAACTTTAGAATGGAGATAAATTATGCGGTTCCTATCAGGTATCAAGCTAGTGATGTGGTGAATCACGGACTACAGTTCGGCATCGGAATTAATTTCATGTGATTTTGTTGGCGGAATTAAGGTTATATGCATTTTGATCCGCGAATTAGGATTTTATACGAATGTCACGTTAGAATAAATATTTGGATGTTTGAGTTAAGATAGCGCACTCTACTATTTTCTCATTTCAATTCACGTCGAGGGCCGTTTTGGTAAACGAGTTAACATTCATACTTTCCTGTTTTGTTGATATTGTATTGTATATAATGTGTTGATATTTGATTCGAGATCGTAACATGTTTATATTTGCTGATATCGACTTTATTTCTGGACATTGAACAATTAACTTAAATTGTAATGTCTTATCCACTGTGTTGATATTGTTCTGACATTGAAATATACGATTAGCTAACCTGTATATTACAGTAGCACCATCATGTCATACCAGATCAGCAAAAAGAGGAAGTTTGTCCAGGATGGAGTTTTCAAAGCTGAACTCGATGAGTTTCTGACCAGAGAATTAGCTGAAGATGGTTACTCCGGCGTTGAGGTAAATCAGTTTGCACGCTCATAAAACATCTTCCACGACTAGCACGATATTTTATCCCTTTTCTTTGGAGAGTCGGCGCCGTCAAAACAAATCTGACTATTTTTGCGCGCCGCGCGCATGCGGTTACGTGGGTTTTTGAATTTGTACATTTCTGCATCGCTCCAGCGGTCAAACTTATCGCCTTTGCGTGTATAATGCTTGTCGAATATCCTTTTTACATTTCCGAAACTCAGGTCCGAGTCACACCAACCAGAACTGAAATCATCATTCTCGCTACACGAACACAGAACGTGCTAGGAGACAAGGGCCGAAGAATCAGAGAACTCACTGCCGTGATCCAGAAGAGATTCAACTTCGCTGTACGTACAACAACATTTCTCATACTTACTGATGTACTTAAAAATATCCCCACACAATTTACGCTCTTGCTTAATCACAATATCTTCTTTCTTAGCTCAATTACAATATCTTGTAAGTTTGTCTTATTTTACAGGAAGGAACAGTGGAGCTGTACGCTGAGAAAGTTGCCCAGAGAGGTCTTTGTGCTATCGCCCAGTGCGAATCTCTCAGGTATAAACTTATTGGTGGCTTGGCCGTCCGACGTGCCTGCTATGGTGTTCTCAGATTTATCATGGAGAGCGGTGCTAAGGGTTGCGAGGTAAGGCCAATACTTGTTCTCAATTTCGCAGCACAATCTAAAACAAAGCTTTTAAACAATTTTTCCTATACTTCTAGACACTAAATTATCAGGTCGTTATTCAATATTCATACTTAAGCACTTCTAAATTGCCAACCCTTTCAGGTAGTAGTGAGCGGTAAACTGAGAGGTCAGAGAGCTAAGTCGATGAAGTTTGTAGATGGTCTCATGATCCATACCGGAGAACCAAAGAGGCAATACGTGGACACTGCCGTGCGACACGTTCTCCTCAGACAGGGTGTACTCGGTATCAAGGTCAAAATTATGTTGCCGCATGACCCTCAGGGCAAAGTTGGACCCAAGCAACCTTTACCTGATCACGTTGCTATCGTTGAGCCCAAAGAAGCTGACAGCAAAATCGAAACTCCATACAGTACGTGCGTGGAAAAGGCTGGAGCACCTGATGCTGCACCATCTCCTGCTGTCGTTATGTGATAATTTAAGATGATGTTTTTATTTATATGGAAAGTTTCGTGTTTTAATTGTTTCTTAAATCGTGGGTCAAAATAAGAGTCATTAATACCGTAAGTTATTTCAAATACGTTCACAGATTTAAATTGAAAAGGTTCGTAATGTGTGAACGACCCCCTGGAAAGTTGAAAGCTTGGAAAATCCCACTTAAAACTTTGGGAAGCTTCTAGACATGTCCATCGCAAAGCAAATGGCATTATACTGTTCACTGTTATACTGCTCATTCATTATACTGCTCACTGTTGCTTGTCTCTTAATATTTAATAGTTTATGATTGCTGTCCCGGCTTCTGTGACTTTTTTATAAGCTTTATCTTCTTCTTATCTTCTACTTCGAACCGGAGTAATCCTTTAGCGCCCTTGCCGTATACAGCTGCTATTTTTACCTGATAGGGGTTGTATAAGTTTTAATAGACTTATTAGATTATTCATTATATTTTGACTAGGTTATAGGTTGAAACAACAACGACTGAAAAGTATTGCCGATATTTCTCTTAAAGTATTTAATCTCTCTTAATCACTCTATAATACCAGCTATACTTTTTATAAGGTAGTCTGCTCAATCTGTTACTTGGCTATCTACCATATTGCACTATCAATGTGCTACTAGGTTATTATGATGGTTACTAGGTTACTATGATGGTTACTAGGTTACTAATCTAGTTACTAATTCAGTTACCTCGTTGCACTGCTCGATCTGTACGTTGAGTTTGCTCCAGTTGCCGTCCTCACCTAACTCCAACTTCTCCTGTCTTTTTCCCATCACCATCATCACCTGGTGCCACCCAATTTATTCAGTCAAGTATTTCGCTAATTCAAAAAGAAGTTGAGGTTAACAATAAATAAGTCGAGGTTAACATTAAGAAACCCTTAATACTGTCATATGCACTGATCCTACATTTTAATATACTAGCCTGTTGCTAGTCCCCTGAACTCATACTTCAATCTTCATATATTTTGGCTCATAAATTGGTCAAGTATGAACAATCAATATCTTTGAACAAGACTAACTTTACATGAAAGGTAAATCTAATCTTATACATTACGGGTATATGACCCCCAGAATATAGGTCGTTTTTTGAGCACTTAGAAACAGGTGTTAAAACTACTTCTAAGCATGTTTAGGGCTGTAAATATGTACATAATAACCCTTTAAATGTTTCTTGGGTAGTTGAAAATAAATATTAGGTTTTTAAGTGTACTTTTTTTCACCTGTAAAAATACCATTTTTTAACAGGGCCCCCAGAATATAGGTCCAAACATCTGTTCCTAAGTTGTTCTAAAATTGTCACAGACAGTTATATGCAGTCAGAATATGTTGCTGAGACTGTATTGATGATGCCCATGGCTCCAGATACTAAATTGAAATGGTTTAGAGTATACTTAATAGCAAAAAATCAAAAACTACGGCCCCCAGAATATAGGTATGCAAAAATCGTCCTCAAATACTCCACCTTCATACATTTTGATGATGCCATCTCTTCAGCATATGTTCTTTAACTGTTTCTCATCACTACCCCACATTCCTTAATGCTCAGGGTGACAGAGAAAATTCAGAATCTTGGTCGCTATTTTTTTTTTTAAACCTATATTCTGGGGGCCATATACCCGTAATGAGTAAAATCTTTAATTTTACTAGTTAAAAAGCTTTCATGCACTCATTTAGTAGGGATATTAACTAAATACTTAAATAAGATTGAAGGAGTGTCCCTAGATATGATTGAGGGGGGCTGTTTTTATCTGTATCAATACAATGTGCACCTCAATGACTGTAAATCAGACATTTTTGGCCGCCAAATTTTTTTAAAGGCCTAACTCAAAATTCTGTCCCAAAACTTAAGGTCATGAGACAATTCTACGTTGATTCTGAAAATTTCATGTGAAAATATTGAAACCCTATTGAGTTCTATTGTTTTGAGCGAAGTCAGTTTGAGATATGGGCGATTTTGTTCATTTTTTGCGATTATTTGAACACAGAATCCACAGTTAGGTAGATATTGAGCTGATAATCATAGAGAATGTGTAATATATATGCTTACCTTCCATATAAAGTTGGTTTCATTCAAAAATATTGATATTTGACCAATTTATGGACCAAAATCGATCAAATTTGGTGCGTATGCCCAAATATGGGCATATGGTTTTTGTTTTTATCCCATAACTCGGCCAATTTTTATCCAATTTTGATAAAACTTGATATGTGGGTTCAGGAGACTAGTAGCTACAAGTAGAGCATCCCAAAGCATGGTTTTGGGCATGTTCAGGGTTTTTGACCAACCTATATTCTGGGGGTCGTATAGACCTATATTCTGGGGGCCCGTAAAATTGTGGTGGCCATAACTTTTTTCCAAATTGTCAGTTTGCAGATGTCTCGATGAAAAGATAGCTTAAAATAATACTTTAACTCATACCAGTAGTCTTAATGGCATGTGTTGGACAGATTTTTGTCATGACAATTTTTCGCCATATTTACCCCTCTAGAAAATGACAACATCGTTTAAATCTTTCGCTGTCATGACAAAATATACCAAAATACCTCATGTAGGTCCAAAATTTTTATCCAGAAACATTAGTTACATGTTTTACTCCAACCTAGCAGTAACAGATCCCATTAGTATCGCTTATCTTGGTTAGAACTGTATCCACTAACATGACCTATATTTTGGGGGCCACCTATATTCTGGGGGCCATATACCCGTAAATAAAACAACATTTTTCACATATTTTTTTATAATGTAGGTATATCACAGTGCTGGCAAGCAGGACCGGGGCTTTTGTTTCTTATACTATTATACCCTCTTTACTAATTACCCCCATTTACTATTTACTATTTACCCCCATTTACTATTTACCCCCATTTACTATTTACCCTCATTTACAATTTACCCCATTGACTATTATACCCATTTTACTATTTTTCGGGCATTTGCATTAAGACTCATCGGAAGTCGTTCAGAAGGTTTATTTTTAGTTCAAAACATTCTCATTTAATGTCAAAGTTGTTGCTAGTCCCCTGAACTCATACTTCAATCTTCATATATTTTGGCTCATAAATTGGTCAAGTATGAACAATCAATATCTTTGAACAAGACTAACTTTACATGAAAGGTAAATCTAATCTATACATTAAATAAAACAACATTTTTCACATATTTTTTTATAATGTAGGTATATCACAGTGCTGGCAAGCAGGACCGGGGCTTTTGTTTCTTATACTATTATACCCTCTTTACTAATTACCCCCATTTACTATTTACTATTTACCCCCATTTACTATTTACCCCCATTTACTATTTACCCTCATTTACAATTTACCCCATTGACTATTATACCCATTTTACTATTTTTCGGGCATTTGCATTAAGACTCATCGGAAGTCGTTCAGAAGGTTTATTTTTAGTTCAAAACATTCTCATTTAATGTCAAAGTTGTTGCTAGTCCCCTGAACTCATACTTCAATCTTCATATATTTTGGCTCATAAATTGGTCAAGTATGAACAATCAATATCTTTGAACAAGACTAACTTTACATGAAAGGTAAATCTAATCTATACATTAAATAAAACAACATTTTTCACATATTTTTTTATAATGTAGGTATATCACAGTGCTGGCAAGCAGGACCGGGGCTTTTGTTTCTTATACTATTATACCCTCTTTACTAATTACCCCCATTTACTATTAACTCCAATTTACTATTTACCCCCATTTACTATTTACCCCCATTTACTATTTACCCCCATTTACTATTTACCCTCATTTACAATTTACCCCATTGACTATTATACCCCTTTTACTATTTTTCGGGCATTTGCATTATATATATATATTAAGACATTATATATATATATTAAGACTCGTCGGAAGTCGTTCAGAAGGTTTATTTTTAGTTCAAAACATTCTCATTTAATGTCAAAGTTGTTGCTAGTCCCCTGAACTCATACTTCAATCTTCATATATTTTGGCTCATAAATTGGTCAAGTATGAACAATCAATATCTTTGAACAAGACTAACTTTACATGAAAGGTAAATCTAATCTATACATTAAATAAAACAACATTTTTCACATATTTTTTTATAATGTAGGTATATCACAGTGCTGGCAAGCAGGACCGGGGCTTTTGTTTCTTATACTATTATACCCTCTTTACTAATTACCCCCATTTACTATTAACTCCAATTTACTATTTACCCCCATTTACTATTTACCCCCATTTACTATTTACCCCCATTTACTATTTACCCCCATTTACTATTTACCCCCATTTACTATTTACCCTCATTTACAATTTACCCCATTGACTATTATACCCCTTTTACTATTTTTCGGGCATTTGCATTAAGACTCGTCGGAAGTCGTTCAGAAGGTTTATTTTTAGTTCAAAACATTCTCATTTAATGTCAAAGATGACAGGAATAAGAAATAGTTATGTAGAGATTTTTAAGAAATTTGCGTAAAATACTCGCCAGCACTGTTATACGAAATTCTGTAAAAAAAACCCAAAATCGCCATATTCAGGTGCCTAAAAACCATGTTTTTTTTTAAAATCTGAAACTTTGCAGAGCGTCTAGATGTTGCCCAGATCGACTGTAAAAAAAATTTCAAGTTTCAGGAGTATCGGGAAGTGGGTTTTCTGGAACCCCTGTTTTACGATAAATTGTCGTGATTTATATATACATATATTCAGGGATAGACGCTTTGCCAGTCAATTATAGGCTACATTCAGGTGTCTGTAGATTTGTACCTATAAAAGATGCAGCAATTTTCGACCACAGGTCTTAAAGATAATTGTTTACACTTTACAGTTTCAATTATATCAAAAAATAATTTAACGTCATCATCACCACTTGATGGACCTCATCAAATTAAGTTTTTTCAAAACTTGATTTTTGACAAAATAACAACTTTTCAAACTGAATTTACACCATTAAGGAGTAATTTTACTCAAAATCTGAGGAAATTTTCATGTTAGAGAATTGTTTGAGCATTCCGAAAA